CCGTCGTAGGACCCCAGGGTTGATCGGAGAATCTAGGGCGAACAGAACATATAAAATAATGTGAGACAAGTTTTCTTCGAGCAATGTTACTTGTGTTGTTGTCGAGTGGCTAAGATTTTTTTTTTATTATTAAACGAACAAGTATCACTCATTATGTATATTTACGCGACTTACTTGTTGATTATTTGGTAGAAGGTGTAGCCCTCTACGTTTCGGCGGTCGCGCGTGTGTGATTGTCGTCCTCCAAGAAGAAGGCTGTCGTAACCTGCCGAAACGTAGAGGGCTACACCTTCTACCAAATAATCAACAAGTAAGTCGCGTAAATACGGGGTGTTAGGGACGGTGTAACGAAAACTTTGCAGGCGTGCTAAGACCATGAAACTGAACAACTTTTACTATGGAGCCAATGGTGGGAAACGAAAATAAATTTCCGGCCTCCCATACAAAGTCAGTCAGCTGATCGTGAATTTTGTATGGGAGGTCGGAAAAATTTTTTCACTTCCCACCATTGGCTCCATAGTAAAAGTTGTTCAGTTTCATGGTCTGATCATGCCTGCAAAGTTTTCGGTACACCGTCCCTAACACCCTGTATACATAATGAGTGGCTAAGACACCGAGACTACCGAGACAACCAACTACCGGATGAACGACAAATTGACCTGGTATCAGAATTTTTGGACCGCCTACTTAAGTAGAATCGATATAGGTCTTTCTTCATTTGATACCAAATTTCATGTCAGCAGATGCAAATCTAACGAAGTTTTACAGCGGTGTACAGAAACACATACTACTACATTCTAAAAAAAGGTGAACAGAAAAACATCATTCACTCACCAGATCGTCTAAATCAAAAGCATCGACCAAACCGACAGCATTTGGCCGAATCTTACACAGCAGCTCCTCGTACCACTCCTGCAGCCTGTCCACGTCTTGTTTTGAAATGGATGTGTACTGAAATATAGTATTAGACCATTAGTAAATTGATAGATTAAAGTTTTTTTAAACTGTTTCTACACCCAAACAATGCAATGCCTTATACATTTTGCAAATTGAGGAGGACTTTAGGTATAAAGTTTTATGTGTTTAATGTTTAATTACTGGGTGCATTTCATGTTTCTTTTTCACCATCGGTTACCATTTCATCCGATTCTCAAGTCTAGGGCAATGGATTCACTGGTTCTTCGTCTGCGTTATCTCTTCTCATATGAAAAAGCTTGCTTAGTCTTTGGGCATTATTAGTCTTTGGTCTTCTGTTTTTTACGTCTATTATACAACATACCCGCAACAAATCATTGGTCCTCTCCAAAGCCCAATAGACTGAATATAGATCCACCAGTTGGTGAACCACCGTTCTCAATTCCGGAGATGACTTAGCAGACAGTCGACTATTCTCTTCGTAGTTTGTTCTCAGGATTACCACTCGGCAATGTGCCTGAAGGGATGAAAAATGTTCAATAGGAATTCCCGTGGTAAAAACAAAGACTTAAACATTGAAACGAGATTCTTATCGCAATATGTAATTTTGTTTGAATTGTCCGATATTTCGACCTAGTTAGATAACAGTTCAGTTAAAGTTTCGTTCACGGTAATAGTCCCTTTTCAATATTTTAGTCATTATGTGAAACCGCGAAAGCAAAATTTGTACTTAGTTGTTGGTTTACTACCTCAGCAGCAGCTACTAACTGCACAGACGTCATATTCCAAGCATCTTCATACGATAGTCCAGATTCAACTTTCTTTTGTAAATTGTTTACACATGAAGAGATTTTCCTGCAAAGATTATTCGATCAAAGAACCTCTGTATTAAGCATGAAAGCAATAGTAGGCTCTATAAGGGGCTGCTTATAATCGCGACTACCATTCCATCGGAATCCGGTGCGAAACAACTTATTTTGTTCCAGTGAAATGTGGGATTGCAACTGCCTTTTTGGCCCTTGGATAAGCTCGCTCCATCTGACTGACTCTATCTCGTAAAGTCGAGAGCAAATTCAAACACCAAAAAGAAGTAAAAACATTCATAAGTAGGTAAAAAATATTGAACAAACCTCATAGCGACGATTTCAAACCCTCGTATGATGCCTTCGATGGAGTTTTGCCACGGCATTTGGTTATTTGCAGTCTTCAGGTAAGCGACAGTAGGAGTCAAAACGGTTTTATCCATGTTCTGCCATGTTTTTACTAAGAATCTGAAAAATTTCATAATTCGTGATTGAAAGTTGCCAGAATAAGACAGTTCCTAATACGCTAAAGCTTCAGTAATCCAGAGGTGTTGAGCTCTCTCATGTTAGATAAGATCCATCAATTTGAAGAAAGGAGCATACCTGGCAGTTTGAAGCAACAGCACAGTATTTTCTCCCTCATAGGTGCATGCAGCGGTAGCGAGTCCATATATCAGAGGCAGGTTGGAAGACTGCATGTATCCATGGCCACCGCAAGCCAGACGGCATCTTTCAACGTTTGCAGTCGTGTCTGATGTGCTCACGGCTTTTAGACAGCAAGCTAGGGCATGCAACTGAAAGAAGATAATTATACGGGGTGTTAGGGACGGTGTAACGAAAACTTTGCAGGCGTGCTCAGACCATCAAACTGAACAACTTTTACTATGGAGCCAATGGTGGTAAAACCAAAAAAAAATTCCGACCTCCCATACAAAGTCAGTCAGCTGATCGTGAATTTTGTATGGAAGGTCGGAAAATTTTTTTCGTTTCCCACCATTGGCTCCATAGTAAAAGTTGTTCAGTTTGATGGTCTGATCATGCCTGCAAAGTTTTCGTTACACCGTCCCTAACACCCTGTATAAGGGAGAAGGGCGCTTCTTACACAATTCTGGATAGTTTTGACAATTTTTAGGCTAGTGCTGGGCTAGTGATAGGATTTTTTGTAACCACTCTGAAAAGAGAATAAAATACCCACGCACATCAACCACGAAACGCCTTATATGCACGAAGGTTCTATAAATTTTGAACAACTTTTCAACAATTTCCATGAAATGCGAATACTCCATGACACCTACACCATACTGAATGAATAGTATACCTACCATACCAACTGTAGGATACTTCGCCGATTCTTACACATGTCGCCTCATAATTATTACAATTAGTTAAGCCATGATTCTTATGATCTTAAACGTAATAATAGCAATTAGATGCCGATGATGGTATCTACGTAAATAACTGTACTTACCTACATAGTGTGCCTTAAAGTTATACTTGCCTTCTTAGGTATGTTTTTTCATTTTAGATTTTTTTTACATTCCTTTGATTTCCATCATCAGGAGTGCACAATGCACATCACCCTAATGGAAATGGGATAGTTCTCGTCCATACATATGACAGAACAATCAGTCTTTGATGCAATTTGCTGTTATGATTTTGACTACCAGTTATCTCGGACCTATTTGCAAGGATGATCTGAAATTCTGCATCCTCGTCTTCTATTTGTTTTGATTTTTACTCAAAACCACTGTTAATACACACCTCAGGCAACCTCTCCAAGTTCCCTCCAGTGAGCTGATCACTGACTTCGTGGAAGGTGTCCCACAGCTTCACCCCAGTGATTTTCAGCGCGAGGCAAGCTGCTATGCCGCTGAAGATCTTATGCTGTTGAGTCAGGTAGTCCAGGATTTGTACTTCTGGTTCACTAAAACAAAATTACCAAAAATCTATGTACATTGGGCCAAGAGTAAAGGACGGTGTTGATGCAGAAAACGTTGCAGTTTGTAGTTTTTTCCAAGTTTCCACAGTCTGTCACATCAGATCGGATATTTAGTACCTATGGGACGCTGTTTTTTTTTTAGTTTTCTCAGCATAATAAGAAAAGTTTTTGAGTTCCATGGCCTTATCATACCTACAAAGCTTTTTCACTATCCCCTCGTATCAACTAGGTCCAGAATGACTCTACACTTGAGTGGTGAATCAACTCTTACTATTTTCATAACTTCTTAAGCTTCTGAGTTTACTCAATGGTTTTTACCCTTCTCTCATCGTGCACTGTCTGCGCACAGCGGAGTATCGAGTGGCAATGGTGACAGCTTTGGACAAGTAGTTGATCATGTCGAACACAATCACCACCCTGACGAACACCATGGCTCCGTAGTTCAGCTTGCTGTTTCTGGATTTTACATAGGTACCATCCTGAAAAGGAAAATGGCCATGAATGACTTTGCAGCAAATTAAAGTGGCAGTGGGACAGTCACATCTGTCGTAGAAACAATAAGTGGACGGTACAGTTAACGGGTTCTCAAGGAGAAGCCTAACCTCGGCAAGCATAGCGTTGGACGTCCTCCGGCCACCGATATGGTATGGTATGGTGACTGGATGACGAGGAAAAAGGAAAAAGGGATATATTGCATTATGGTTACCCTGTACCCTTCATCCAATAGCGGACTGTCATAATAAACTGATGTGATATGTGATTGTAGCCATTGTTCCATCATGGAATTGTAATCCCTTACCTCCAAAACTTGAGCATGTTTCATCAGCATACAATTCCTCGGTATTTTCACGTTGTCAAAGCCCAAGAATCCGTTATTGACTGCATTGAGTCCAAGTTTGGCTCCAATATCTCCAATCTTGAGTCCAGGGATTGGCATATGGGTTTCCTCGTCTCTTAGCTGCACGATGAAGGAGTGGACTCCGTGACACTGGCCTTTTGTGTAGAGCTGGGCGACTACGACTGCATAGTTAGCCGTGTGACCCACTGCAATGAGAAAACTTGGTCTAAATGTAGTCCCAGCTCAAGCACAAAAACTTTTCTTGTGCGTGTTTCTGTGACCCCTGATACAGATGATCTAAGTGGGTGGCTAGTATCAATCATTGTGAGTGCATTAAAAATTCCAATACATTGGTTTAAGCAAAAAGCTTCATCATATGGTTTGAATTCCTACTGTAACGTGGACTAACCAAATTATTTAGTTGTAAAAACTACTTCTAGATGTCGCTTAATCGTCGCTTCGAGACGAGCATCAAAAGGTTGAGAAATTCACCAGGGTCCGCTAGGCGCCCGTAAGCTCAATCGGTAGAGCGGTGGAACGGTGATCCACAGACCCGGGTTCACGTCCCGACGGTCGCTAGGGAATTTTAAAATTTTCTCATTATTAAATTTATGAGTACCTATCAATCATGTTACAAATTCATAAAAACTTACTTGCGCCAGGCCACCATTTGTAAGAAGTGAGGGTAGGACTGTTCAGCACAAACTCTTGTGTGTTAGGGTCATACGTCGCTGTGGTCTCCAACCCTCGGATGAAGGTTCCATGGCCGAGTTCAGTCTGAAATATTTTTAATTAGCATCATGTTTAGATGTCTAGTTGTTAGAAATGAAACAAATTTAAGGATACTTGAATTTTGAGGATGGAAAGACTTGGACTCTACGTTTCATGTTTTGTTGAGGTACCCCTCTGAATTGTATGGAAAACCATAATTAACACTTTTAAGATGGCACCTTCACTTTTTGGATTTGATAGGGGAGACTGGGGACACTTGATCCCCCACTTTGATTTTGTTATCTCATGTGTACATTTCTTAACATATGTAACCCGTGTTTACACTAAACGATGCAGAATTTAACTAACTACCATTTGTGTATGTGTAGTTAGGATTATACCATAGTTGCAAAAGTTATTTAAAGAAAACTGGTAAAACAGATTTGCACCATGTGTCCCGTATATAAGGGAGAAATGATCCACCTAGTTGGATGACTTGATCCGCCCTGGATCAAGTCTCCCATAGTATGGGAGACATGGTTTTGTTTATTAAATATGTGAGGATCATGTGTTCCATAGTCAGGGACACGTGGGACATTACGTTAAAGTAAATAGCTATTTTATCAAGTTTAGTTTTGTTTTCTCTCCTAAATGTAATCTAAAAATGTACAAGTACACCTAATGTAACGAATAACCGTTTATAATCGATAATATAACGATACAAAAATTTTACTTTTATAACAGCCATGGATCATGTCTCCCATAGGAGAAATACATTAGTGATATAATGCTATCCAATTAAAATATTATTTAACAATGTTCCATACAGCCTGAATATACACGATATTTAATCAATCATAGATTATTATAGTCCTGATTACAATTTTCTTACTAACTGATCCCCATAAGGGAGACTTGATCCTAGAATCAAGTGTCCCTTGAAAAAATGTACCAAGTCTCCTTTATAGTATCAGATCAAGAATAATTTATACTTTAGAACAAAAGAATTTTTTTACTTAATATAAACGTTATTCTTTAATCAAAGGTCACTGCTAATGAAATATCCTTAATAATGAATCCTGTTTCTTTTGCAATTCTTCATTTATTTGTAATAAACAAAAGCCTGCAAATATTCGCCAAAATGATCTTGCGGTGCCATAGAATATATAAGGACCTGTCACTTTGAAGCATGAAATAGTAGACACATCCGACTGTGACAAAAAGTTTTCCCAAACCATAGACAAAAAGTTTTGCTAGCATTAATAAACATAGCTTTGGTAGAATTTCTGGAAATTAAAAGTACCATGTCTCCCACAGGGATCAAGTGTCCCCAGTTTCCCCTATATATTACGTAGTCATGTAAGACGACTTGGTGTGCCACTAGAAGAAGAAGAAGAAGTAAGATTAGATTGATCCTGTTGATTGACAGACCTGAGCATAAGTCCCAATGATGCTGCAGTTCCAGGCCCTGGGCAGCCACTCGGCCTGCTGTTCCTCAGTGCCTTGGTTCATGATGGCTGGCATGAACATGACGTAGTGGAGCCCTAAAGGGGACCCGTCCTTAGTCACAGCTGAACCGAGGAGGCCGTTTATCAGATCCCTGAAATAGGGATAAAAAGAAGGTAACGAGAAAAGTGCGCCTGAAATACATATGTACTATTTTTCAGGTTTTAGTGCTTTTGTTTTGTTTTTCTTTTTAGATATGGAACTAGTGCTGGCAAAGAAGTCACCTGATATGCCTACATTGATGGAATTGATAACACTAGGAAGGGTCACCAACAGGGCTTTGCAACGTCTTTTTTTGTAACTGTGTATTTAGCTCTACTTTATGCTAATTTATGGATGGTAAAGTAGCTCTAGAAAATCAGCGGCTGGCAATGGGTAGGACACTTCTCATGCTAATGATAATGACAGTTCCAAAAAACCGTAATCTTCCTTCATACGTCTTTTGAGGAAAAACTTACATAACGCAAATGTATATACCTACCTAGTTTGTTATGTATGACATTGACTGACTCTGCATAAGAAAATAATGTCGCGTAGGTCATACTTCAGTTGCTTGGTTGTGATAAAAACTACTGTATTCAAAACAGACAACTATTCGCTGTACCTTTGTCAGCAATGATTATACCTACTCCTTAAAATCTAACTCGATTCTTGTGAAGCACTATAAGATTCGTATGGGGTTCATTTTCCTTTATTTCCCCGTCAGCAGTTTCACGTTTTTTTGAGACGTATGAGACGTTTTCCCGGCATGTAATATATCTATTGCAAAAAAAACACATCAAAATCCGCTGCGTGCTTTAGGATTAGTTAGAGATTTCCATGACAGACAAACAGAGACACAGAGAAACGAAAAAAGTGACTTCATTTTATACTATGACTACTATGAATTTTACAAAGTAGCCACTTGGTATGTACCTACCTGTAGTTGGTGAGCGCCATTTTCCCCTCCTCCTGCAGTTTCCTGACCATGCCGAACACCAGCACGGATTTCTTCACCGCATTCTCGTATTTCTCTTTATGTCCCAGATACTCTTCGGGAGTGCCTTCGAAGAACTCCTTCTGGCTCATCAATATCTTCTCTGGAATCAGAAAGTTTGGTGGCTTAGGGATGTGAAACCATGGAATGTCTTACTTACACCATCTAAAAAATACTTCTAAAATCCACTGTGGCCGGCCACGATTCTGCCAAACTTTTTTTAGCTACATATTCCTGTTATTTTCGAAACACAAGAATAAAAGAAATCGAAATCTACATTTTAAATTTTGATGTGGCATCCAATCGAATATTTTAAGCGAGCTGCGTATTTTCGATCTCTTGCTACCAGCAGTACCTACCTAGTGTGTTTTTTTCGAGGTAAAGATTTCGGCATCGTGCGTCAGATTGAGAACACGTTTAGAACTTTTACTCTCTAACAATCCGGGAACCGGTACTTAATTAGAAAGAGCACAAAGCAAATGCCCCATGCCTATCTATGTGCTTTTCGTCGCGGTCTTCTTGACTAAGGTTAATAGTTTAAGGATGTATTTTATATTTTGTTGGTTTATTTACTTATGTGTACTTATAATTGACTTAATAAAACTTATGTTATGTTATTCTGATAATTGACTTAATAAAACTACCTAAATTACTATAAACTGACTTACTAATTGACTTATAGGTACTTTAGGTAGGTATACAGCTGTTTGATACAGTCAAAGGTGCATATTCCTTCATAAAATTAAACTGAGAGGGTTTCAGCCGAGTTTTTCCAGCAAACTTTGGAAAATTTAGCTTTTACCGTTACAGTTGAGCTTTGTACTTATACTCAGAATACTTAGTAATTTATACGTAAGTTTTAACCTATCTTACTTAGGTAGGTACCTACCTACAACTACGAGTACTTACGTATAGTTAATGCGCGATAATTGTGCCTTTGTATCTGTCATAATTACGTATAATTCTAGGGAAAATCGGTCCCTTCATAGCCAGTGAATGCATTCTAAGTATAATAGGTTTATTATTCCTTAGTTAAACACGGTTTAAGTTCGTTCACCTCTCTGTCTGCGTTCCAATGTGCGCTCCGGCCCTCCATCAAAGTAGTTTGTCATTTCTTCTATGTTGAACGTACACTTTTTCCTCTCGCGCAGCAAATCCTCGTTAATTTTCTCCATTTTCCTCACAATAAGATCACGTCAACCGACTAGTGAAATAGGAAGCACACTGACTATTCGAAATGGTTTTGTGTGCGAGCGGCCTACGACTGACGACGCGGAATTAACTTAATATCTTCAGTATACGAGTAATACATTAGTATATCAATAGGTGCTTACGTTAATTATGCACATACTGTGATAAACAAAATTTCAAGTAACGATCAGTCTGTTGAATAACTCTACTACCAGTCACTTCTTTGTCATTTCGTTGCCCTTGGAAAGATCTACCAACCTTAGAAAATTTGACGGAAATCATATACAAAATTTTGCCGCCGACATCAAAAAATCAAAATCAAAAAAATCAAAATTCTTTATTAAATAAACATAAATACTTACTAACAGGTAATTCTATACAAAAACAATTACATATATATAGTAGGTAATTCTATACATACCTAGATTCTTTGCTTTTAGGTTTCCTTTACCGACATTCCCAAATTAGAAACTTTAAAACAATTATGATGTTACCTATCATATCGAACAACCGACCGACCTGTAACTTTCTACGAGGTTTCTATAGAAAAACACAAGTAGGTAGGTACTCTAACTGTGGAGGTCTTGCGGTTCAAGCATTGTTTTATTTATAGACTCTATTCTACCAATAACATGCAATTACCTACATTATCTGCATAGTTATTTATTATTATCTTCAATTGCTAGACAGAGGTGGGGACAGGTTAGTCAAAACAAAACCCAGATTATAATTTGTAAACAGATCTTAGCATTTTATCTTTGGTTTTGGTTTGCTTTATTATTAGTAGTCGAAGTAGCCCGTTTCAATCAATCAATCAAATAGTTTATTCGTAACTTTTTTCCGATGTTTCAACTCCGGTTTTCAGTGAAAAAAAATCGCTAAAACCGGTTTTAGGAAAAACAGTAGTTTTATTTTTTTATTATTATTTTTAGGAAAATATAAAGAACTACTTATTTGAGCATGCAAATGGTAACTGTTGTTCAATCAGATCTTTAATTCACTTCCAAAATGTACTTACTTACACTTACCAAATAAAAGATCAATAATCATTTCAGCATACATAAAGGCGGCACACTGCTTGCGTTGCGTAAGGTACGTGTATACAGTCCCATGCTTTAACACCGGTACGTGTGTGATGACGTGCACGCATACGAGCTGCATATGCAGACAGAGGTCTGCCCTTTAAAGGACTGA